TAGATTTTAAGTTATATTGAAATGCTTTTAATGTAAGCCTCTTTGAGTCTCCTTGTGAAGAGAAAAAGTGGGGTATAAATAAACATAATAATAATAACAACAACAACCACAACAATAACATAACAATATCCCAAACCCACAAAAGATTTGGCATTGGTGTAATTTATTGGCCATCAAAATAAACAAGATATATCATGCGAGCTTTTAAAGCTTCTTTATAAGACAAGACATGTTTAAAATCATACAGGAAAATTACAATGTCAGAGTCAAGGCCTACATTTTGTATTATATGGTGTTTATGTTGTAGTTCAGTTGGTTTGGAAAAACTTCACTGCAAGCAGAGGCCATTCTGCATGACTTTATCAATTATTATATAGTTAGCCCTCTACCTTTGTGGATTTGACTTTTGCAGATTTGATTATTCACAGATTTAATTAAAATATTCTCCCTAGGAATCTCTAATCCTCCAGTGAGACTCTATGGTCAACTTATGCAAGAAGTTGATCAAAGACTCACATTGGAAGACGGAAAGATTCTTGAGTGAAGATCTCTCTAAAAGTCTCTAGGTCTTTCAGTACAATGCTGGGGAAGTTAACCTGACAGACAAGTTGAAGAAGTAGATATTCCCAGACAGGTATTTTCTCAGGTTAAAAAATAGCAATTGCATTATTTTTGGGTTTTTGGAGTTTTTATTTCACTTTTGTGGTGATTCTGTGTCTCTAAGCCCAGTGAATTTGGAGGGATGACTGTAGTTCCTTAACATAAGGCACCCATTTCCCTAAACCAATCCTTCTTCACAAATTAAAACAGTAAATATAAATTCACATAATTGTAGCTGAAACCGCTTAGAATTAGCCGAATACTAACATCTGGAAGCCTACAACCATTCCCCTAGCACAGTGGTTCTCAACCTTCCTAATGCTGCGACCCCTTAATACAGTTCCTCGTGTTGTGATGACCCCCAACCATAATTTCTTTTGTTGCTACTTCACAACTGTAATTTTGCTATTGTTATTAATTGTAATGTAAATATCTGATATGCAGGATGTATTTTCATTCACTGGATGAAATTTGTCACAAATATCCAATACGCCCAGATTTGAATACTGGTGGAGTTGGGGCGGGGGGGGAGTGTGATTTTGTCATTTGGGAACTGTAGTTGCTGGGATTTATAGTTAACCTAAAACCAAAGGGCATTCTGAACTCTACCTAACAATGGAACTGAACCAAACTTGGAACATAGAACTCCTGTGAAAATACCAGAAGGGTTTGGTGGGCACTGACCTTGAGTTTTGGAGTTGCATTTCACCTACATCCAAAGAGCACTGTGGACTCATACAATGATGGATCTGGACCAAACTTGACATGAATACTCAATATGCCCAAATGTGAACACTGGTGGAGTCTGTGGAAAACAGACCTTGACATTTGGGAGTTGTAGTTCCTAGGATTTATAGTTCACCAACAATCAAAGAGCATTCTGAACTTCACCAATGATAGAATTGGGCCATGCAAAACCTCCTTTCCACACAAAACCCCCATGACCAACAGAAAATATGGTGTTTTCTGATGGTCTTTGGCAACCCCTCTGACACCCCCTCATGACCCCCCCCCCTGCGGTCCTGACCCCCAAGTAGAGAAGCATGAGCCTAGCAGACTGATACCCTGGCCTATTGAAGAATATGTACAACTGACCGCACTATACTGTATTACTTATGGTGCCAACAGTAAATGGCAGCTCTCCGTCCAAACAAATGCTTGGTAACTCTAGAAGCAACTCTGTTCATTCCTTCCCTCAAAATATGTATGTGCAGTTGTAACAAGAATTGCAGTACTTACATTTGGGCTTTCCAAAGAACAGTTGCACCTAAGTGTTTTGTTTTATACCAACTTTTATGAGCCAAAGACCATTAAGGTTAGCCTTGTTAATCTACAATATTTTTATAATACCATCACAAATTAATGTGCTTGTGCATGATTGCTCTTTACTTCACGGGGTTTGGGGACTATTCAAGTGCAAGTCATCTGCTCTTATTCTGATTCAGATCCAAAAGACACTCTGTTAGACCAAGCAGCAGGAATGTTTGATCTCTAGAGCAATTAGAAGATTTTTTTTTCCCTGACCACTTAAGGACTGCACAGCCATTACAAGTTTGATGTTGTTAAAATTAACCACAGATCTTTTAAAAGAGGAGATGTATCAAACTGAGACCACAGAATTGTTTTAGCACTACCACTGAACATATCATCAAATGGCGTATTTTTAGATAATGTTCAGTCATTCTACAACATAGCTGTATGGAAACTAGTTAAGTACAGTGCCATATTCTGCAGTCATATCTCAAAGTGTAGCACCCAGTCCTACAGATTTCAGTACAATACAATAAAGAGGATTATCGCCCTCTTGTTACCATCTTTGTCCAACAACTGGATTTCTGAGAAACAATTCCAACATGCTCTTTGCTCAGTGTGAAGAGAGAATTGGATGACAACTACCAGAAACTGCAGTAGCCACTGAAGTTTCTGGTAGTTGTCATCCAATTCTCTGTAAACACATTTACCAGGGATTATGTATGACTAAATATGGTAAAACTATGTTCTAACAATAGCACTGCTGATATCCTGACAATTCACTTTCAAATAGTAGCTGTGACACTGAAGGCACAAGACAAGGATTAAAGAATCTGCTTATTTAAACAACTGGATATTTTTCATATATAATAATATAAGAAGGGATTGTTTCCATTTCTCAGGCTCAACATGCAGTTCTATTTCTAACACAAATCTATCCATGTTATGTGGATTAAGCCTGGTGTGAAGGAACATTTTTCTTTCACATCCAACAGAAATGTGAATTGGCAGGAAAGTGTGAGTGTGTTTCTAAATCGTCTATTCAGCTGGCAGAATCTCTGGTGCATATTTTGGCTTCTTATATGACTCTGCACATGGTATTTGTGAATAAAATAAAACATCCATATTTTCCCCAATCTACAGAACAACTCTTCCATGTTTCTCAATAAGCAAATGTCATATCACAGGATAGCTGGATTTTCTTCAATATGGAGAAAAAAGTGCAGTGAGAAAGCAACACTTGCAAACTATCTTATAAAGGAGATAGATGGTTTTCCACAGCCTTGTATAAGTAGCCAGCATGCAATTGCAAAGCCTCTCGCCAATAATGCATGCAGTTACATCTAAGAATAGTCTCATAAATCAGTAACTAAATAGGACCAAAGAGAGAATGGCAGGAAAATGCAAACATTTAGAACCTTGTTCTGAGAAAGAAATACTAGTAACTGATACTTTTAAGCCAGTGATTCATATAGCAAAACTTTGTTTGCCAATAGATTCCAGCAACATCTACAGCATATAGTCATATATAAGTATAGAAATCTAAAATTTAAAAATCTACCCAAAAAACCCTACATCAAGTTATCCATAAGCTAATTAAGTATTCACCTCAACAGCTATCAAAAAGGAGTTATTCCCATCTCCAAGTGGAATAGTGAAAGGCAAGAGTTTAGTCCATCCATCCTGAAAGAACTGAAAAGAAGCACCTACTGCCTCTGTTCTCTCCATCATGGCATCGGTTCTGGTCTTTTTGAATTCCTAGTGGGAAAAAGGTAGCAGCGGCAGCAACCAAGGCCTGCTGGGCTACTGAGGCAGTGCTGGTGGTTTCCCGTCTCCACAGAATGATCCCTTTCCACAGAACTTGACCATGGGTCTTATCAAAATCTGTAATTTTCTCTCCAAAACATGCCCTCAAATTATACATGAGATTGAGTTATATATGGGTATATATTGTATTCTGCCCCTACTGATCTAATGTTATATGTTAACACAACCACAGTCRTTTTGAAGYTAATGGGCACTGCACATATACCAAAAGTAATATTTTRAGAGAAGAAAAGCTGACTTTTAATATTTATTTATTTCATATATTTATATCCTGTCCTTCTCACCCTTGGTTGTGGGGGGGGGGGGGGAGAGACTCAGGGTGGCAAACATTAGATGCCAAACACAACAATTAAATCAAATAGTTAAAACATCAATTATAAAAACATCCATTTAAAATTACACAAATCCAAATCACAATCCAAGGTCTGTCCATTTTCAGTCACATAAGTCATATAGATTATCATTTTGGCAAGCAGATTTTCTGCTTTCACATAACAAAACTAGGTGAACATAGTACAGACCTGAATGGCACAGCTTTTTGAAAATTTAAGGCAAAATTCATCATTTGCATCTTTCTGGACCCTACTACATTCTATACTACTTTTATATAAATATGCTTTATAGCCTGAGGTTTTAGTATCATCACAAAGAAGAGGATTGATATCCACAAAAGCTTATGCTAAAATAAAAACACTTAGTATGTTGATGGCTTTCATAGCCAGAATCACTGGGTTGCTGTAAGTTTTTCGGGCATGTTCCAGAAGCATTTCCTTCTGATGTTTCACCTGCATCTATGGCAGGCATCCTCAAAGGTTGTGAGGTCTGCTGGAAACTAGGAAAATGGGGTTTCCAACAGACCTCACAACCTCTGAGGATGCCTGCAATACATGCAGGCATAACGTCAGGAGAGAATGCTTCTGGAACATGGCCATACAGCCCGAAAAACTTACAGCAACCCAAAACCACTTAGTCTTAAAAGCACTGTGCATTCCTTTTCCTTCCTTCTTCCTTTTTATGATGCAAGAGACTAACGTGGCTACTTCTTGAAAACTACTGAATTGTAATCAAAGTAATGATACATCAAGGAGACAGATAAATCTGATATTTTCTCCAGTTTTACCATTGTAGATTCACCAGAAAGTAAGACTCAACTCTAAGTGTAATGTCTTGGTCTCGTCTATATGCACATAATGTTTGCAGTCTCAACACACAGCAAAAGAGAAAAACCGTGACAGCTAAAAATGCAAGTATTTTAACATGACCTAGGAAACAAGTTTTCTCTAGCGAGAAATGTATAATTGGAGCACTTCAAAAATACTTACCACAACACCATTCTTTGTCATAGTCTCTCGGTACGTGAAATTGCAAACTGCCCAGGCTAGGTAATATGTGGACATGAGAGGAGTCTGTGAAAAGTGATCCGTAACCCATCCATCTTCTTCAAAAACAGAAGTTTCCACAGGCATATTGGACAAAGATAAATAGGTTGCTTGGTGTTTGATGCTGATTTTGAATGTGGCCTTGTAGATGGGCTCATCAAAGCAAGGAAAAGCTTTTCTGGCATGAGTAGGAGAAAACTGCGTAACTGCAAGGAACCTGGAAAGAAGGAATGACCGGTTTTATTCAGAACTTGACAGAAATATGTTGCATTTTTTAAAAAAATTGGTGCAACACATAAATCAATCTCAACATGAAGCATCCTGAGCATTTTGCTATTATTGTTCTGGGCTAAGTTCAATTTTTTTCCCTAATTTTGTATGTGGTACTACACTTGTGAATTGGGATAACATACAAGTCGGCATTCTGCTAACACAAATGCTTGAGAGGAAACACCAGAATTAAATAAATTAAGCCTCTAGCATTGTACCACATGAGTATTAATGTTTGATTTAATCCTAGTGATAATTTTTATATATTTATCTTTACATTTATGGCCACCAACATAGGTTTCAAAAACACTGAGGAGCAGCTGAAGAAAATCTAACAGCTAACAAAGTATTAACCCCTGTAAACATTTTCAAAAACAAATAACCATGGCTTACTATTATATCAATGATTTAATTACCCCTGAGAAAATGTCTAGGGCCTCTGGCACTGACAATGTACTGGCTTCTTTGGGCACTACAATGTTTTCCCACTTAAAAATACTCGGGAGAGTCATTATTTCCAACTGTTGATGATGCTTGTTAAGTCTGAATGATATTAAAATGCTTTGGCATTCCAAGCACCTATCCTTAAGCAACCGACTAATATAGCAAAATTTAAGTCATAAACTAGAAGCCAATTTTGCCTCTAACGGTAATTATTTTCTGATATTTTGCTCATATAATTTCTAGGTTTCATAAAATAAACATTGTTAAGGGCAATTATGCAAACTGCATAACATTATTGGCCCTGTTAACACATAATGCTAAACCTAAGCCTCAGAGTCCCACTTCTTTATCCTCCATCCCACACCATGGATGAGGGAAACATCATTTCTACTTTTGAATAAACTGCAGCTTACATCTGCACTTCTACCAGGTGCCCTTAAATACCAGAGAACTCTGTAAATAGTGCTTTATGCCAGAATAAATCACTTCTGATTTATTTATTTTTAAGACACACCTTTGGAAACAAAAACCTGGTAAAGTTGCCTCCCCAATTAACTTCTACAGTTACCATTTTAAAACAATTGGCGGAAGGAGGGCATGGGGTAAATCTAAATAAATACAAACACATCATGCAGACTACACTCTGAACATAAGCAAACACTGCGCATTGAACTCATCAAAACAGATTTTTAAATGTGGATTTTGACATCCATTTTTAGATAGGAAAACTGTTTGACATTTTTACTTTTCAGCCAAAAATATATTTGATCTAAGGTAAACGTATAGATTTCCACTGACATTAAGTCTAGTTGTGTCTGACTCTGAGTGGTGCTCATCTCAATTTCTATGCCAAAGAATGGAGAAGAATGGAGGAGAAAAAGGAGTCTTCAGCCAAAGTTGAGGAGAAGAAAGAGAAGAGTGGGGACGGGAAGAAGGCCATGAAACCAGAACCATAAATGAAGGAGAAGAGCGAAGACAACCAGAAGAAGGCCTCCAAACCAATGGAGAAGGAGTCTTCAACCAAAGTTGAGAAGAAAGAAGACAGCCAGAAGGTATCCATGTAGTCATGGGGCCAGCATGACTGCATGGAGCGCTGTTACCTTCCTGCAAAAGCGGTACCTATTGATCTACTCACTTTTGCACCTGGCCTAACAGCAGGAGCTCAGCCCTCTCCCCGAATTCTAACTGCCAACCCTTTGGTCAGCAAGTTCAGCAGCTCAGCGGTTTAACTCACTATGCCACCAGGGGACCCTTATTTGATCTACCACTCTTTTTAAAAGACCTGTTACAGAAATCAGAATTTCAACTAAAAATCAAAACTAGAACATTTGTGGGACAGTATGAATACACAAGGGAATTCCTGCCACCATGGTTTCTCATCCTCTTAAACGCTTCCTTCATAATCCTGTTTAGCTTTTCTCTATGTTGCTTGCTGACTCCCAGCATCATTCACAACACATTTTATTAATATAAAAGACCACAGCTAGTGGGTAGTAAGGTTTAGAATAAACAAAGCTATCATATGTATTGTGCTGTGGAGCTCACACAGTACATCCCAACTTTGGAAAATTATTTACTAGAGCAGTGGAGTAGATATCCATCAGTGCAACTGCAAAGTATGTTTCCCTAAAAGTAAAATTCTATACTCAATAGAAAGCCCCAATGAAGTAAAACTGACTTAAATAATTTTGTATACAGGATTGCAGCCTTCATTACCATAATATTAGACTTTCCAGCGCACACATTAAATGATGACAGAATTACATCATCAATGTGTAATTACAGGAATGAAAGCCTTATAAATTGACTTCTTTGCATACAGATGACAGTAATTTGAAGCTATTTTAATTCCACTCTTCTATTAAAAAGGTAGGCATGTTTCCTCAACACTTTGTCTGTTTTGACACTTCAGAAACTGTAATAATGAAAAAAGTAAGAGACGCTGTCTCGCTCTAAGGAATTGTTTATTCTAGCACATGCAAAGCTGCCTAGTCAACCATACCAGATCAATTCATGATTATTAGGACAATCTGCACAGGGTGCCCATTAATATTGTAATACTGTCAATACATTTCACAGTGCATAATTAAAACTCATTTTTACTGAAAACTTCCCAGTTTAATTTTTTCCATTGAAGATGAAGTGATCTGAGAGGCAAAATTAGCATAGCCATAGTACAACAAAGTTTGAGAGAGATTTATTTTGCCTGCACAGTCAAAAGGTGAATCCTGCTTTGCTTAGAAAGAAAGTAGAGTAGAGTCCTGCTTATCCAACATAAATGGGCTGGCTGTCATTGGATAAGCGACAATGTTGGATAATAAGAAGGGATTAAGGAAAAGTCTATTAAACAACAAATTACGCCATGAGTTTAGAAATTAACCACCAAAACAACAGAAAAAGCAGTTCAATACATGGTAACATTATGTAGTAATTACTGTATTTACAAATTTAGCACCCAAACATCACAATGTATTGAAACAACTGTAGATCCAGGCGGAAGGCAGACTGCGTTGGATAATACAGGACGTTCGATGAGCAAAGGCTGGATAAGCGAGACTCTACTGTACTTCAACATACAAGAAAAACTTAGTAAAAAAAACACCAAACAATGTCTTGGAAGGCTGTAGAAAATAACAATACTCTTAAGATGGAATATACAAAATAAGCTGAATACATTTCAGATCTACTGTATTGTTTAGCCAAACATAAAGGCATCAAAAGGCTTAAGTAAAGTTTTCCCTGAAGTGAAAAGTAATTATCTATAACATGTACTGCAACTGTTACATGGATTGCCACAGGATCCCAAAAACGTCTGAAAAGACTAACGATCATTATGCAAATTAGGTATGTTAACAAATGATTTTATGTTTGCACTTTGATTACTAATTTTCTTAATAATCTCATAATCCCATGGAAACAGTGAATTAATTTTAGCTTTTTGGACGATGTTGCTGAGATGTAGGGATGGGTGCTAGGCAGGTAAATTGGGATTTACACTCCTTGGTGATTTGAAATAAAGTGGTAGGGATTTCTCACTTCCAGTTGTCTAACTACAGAATCTTAAAAAAATTGCACCCAAAATGAAGCTGATTTTGTGTGAAAGCTCTTGTCATCTTGAATCTGGTTACTAATCACCAATTTCTGGACTGAACAGGCGCTCAGAGGTACTCTATTCTTTCATTTTAACATATGCTCACCTGCCCGAGCCAGTAGTTTTGTATCTGGCTCAGACTGGTGGTCCTCTGGATTCTAGTAAGAAACAAGGAGGCTTTTGCAAACCTGAGGATCTGCTCATACTGTATTAAAATGCCACATTTTCTGGATCGGAGCATTCACTTAAACTTCTAACAATTCAGATAAGGGAATATGAAACTGACTTCTAATCCATTGTGGGATATATTTTAAAATATTTACTCTTCGGCCAAACAAAGAACAAAGTGCTTGATCCTCACTATGTATGATTATTACCTATTGATCAGTTGGCTTAAATAAAGCCATGCCAATTTAAAGTAGTTCAAATTTTTGTTCAATGCAATCATTTCATTCACATGCCTACCCACTTGCCCTTAGTATTAGAGCTCAGGAAGGTACACAAGGAAAAGTTAATTGCCTGTGAACAATGGTGCTATGAGTACAAATTGACATATGCAGGTTAAACAGTCCTTCATACAGAAATCCAAAATCCTTCAAAATACTTTAAAATCTGAGATTGTCCACATGGGCAAATGAGAAAGTGACACCTTTGCTTTCTGACGGTCCAGTGTACACAAACATTGCTTCGTTATCTTAAAAAATGTTGTGCACAAAAATACATTAAGGCTGTGAGTTTTGTGTTGTGCACAAAATTACATTAAGGCTGTCTGGCCATGTTTCAGAAGCATTTTCTACTGACGTTTCACCCACATCTATGGCAGGCATCCTCAGAGTTTGAGGGGTCTGTTGGAACTAGGCAAGTGAGGTGTATATATCTGTGGAATGCCTAGGGCGGAAGAAGTGTTGTAAATGGCCTTGATTAGCATTTAATGGCCTTATATCTTCAAAGCCTGGCTGGTTGCTACCTGGGGGGATCCTTTGGGAGGTGTAGCTGGCCCTGATTGATTCTTGTCTGTAATTCCCCTGCTTTTTTTTTAGTGTTGCTCTTTATTTACTGTCCTGATTTTAGATTTTTTTTAATACATTAAAAACATTTAAAATATATTAAGGCTATTTGGGAATTAGGGGTTTTTTTTGTGTCAGAAGCAACTTGAGAAACTGCAAGTCACTTCTCATGTGAGAGAATTGGTCATCTGCAATAATGTTGCCCTGGCTATGCCCGGATGTTTTGATGTTTTACCATCCTTGTGGGAGGCTTCTCTCATGTCCCCGCATGGGGAGCTGGAACTGACAGAGGGAGCTCATCCACGCTCCTGCCAGATTCGAATCTCCGACCTGTCGGTCTTCAGTCCTGCCAACACAAGGGTTTAACACATTGCGCCAATGGGGACTCCTGTGTATTAGGTGTAT